CAAAATAATTGGCAACTTAAGAAGTTGGGAATAATAATAATAATTAATCAATAATAAGTTTTAACATCCCATTTTGAATGAAGGTGAAAATAATTTCTATGGAAGAAAGTTGATATCGGGATTCTTTCTCCTCTTTTTTAACATATCCTTAATTAATAGTTTCTATAGGATACTTTAAAAATTATATTTTAAGTCAATTATATGAAATATGTGTACTATAAATAAATATAGTTATACATCGATTGATAAAAATGCTGTTCATGACAAACATTATGACTGGTTATGCAATCATGTCATTCCTCATAAGCTTTATGATCGTCTAGATTTTGGACATAATTCTGAAAGAAGAGTGTTTTGATCGTAATTCAGGTCATTTACTCAAATATTTTTCGTATTTATTTATTTTATTTAAACACATAAATATTGGTACAAGGAAGCATCAGATACATAGGAACCACACAAATCTCATTTGATTTGTGTGAGGGCTGTGATACTGCTCAGGTTCCCAAACTCAAGCAGGTGGTTTCTTTAGGGAGCCACATCCGGAGCCTTTGACCTAAAGGTCTGATCCACATGGCAGTAGAGTATCGTGAGGAGATGCAGTCCCATGGTAGCCGGTGATCAACGATTGATTGACACGCCATTTGTTCCTTCAGGATACTGGAGCCCATGTGCACCATTGGTTTGGAATGAGGGTTATCCAACTCCTCTAGGTGAACTTGCCGTGTCCACGAACCCAAAGATATTTTTCTGCTATAAATATATACATGATATCTTTCTATTCTATGTTTTAAATGGTATACAAAGTCTTCAAGAGTTAGCTAATCAATAATTGCCCCTTAATATTGTTGAACAAATTGCTTAATAATTATATCACTTGATTTTTAACTGTTGAGCTACCTCTATGTTCTGTCAAAATATCAACAACGGGATAGTACGAACCACTACAAATTAAATTAAAATTCATGCCTGTTGCACAGATGAGTGTCTGTTTAAATCCAGTAGCAAAGTAGATAAAGGGATGATGTTTTAAGGAAACGGTACTCAGTTTGAGTCCTGGAATGAACATCAACTCTAGGATGCAAATACATCCAGCTGATAAGTCTTAGATGGGATGAAACGTGTATCCTAGATTTCACTACTAGCCACATCCCATCTATTCTATATAAATTTTAAGTTACCTGTCCAAACTCTATTTCGCTTTAGACAGATAGTATCACTAGCTTTTAAACTAAACGTTTAGCTCAGATTGAGTACATAAATGTCTATTTAGTTGAATGAGTTACATTTAAGTGGAATAAACAACTGAACTGATAAGAATGAAGTTTCCTGGATTTTTTTCCTATTCTCAGTCACATATGTGTACACAAATCAAAATAGTGTTATACATTTACTACTTATAAAACCATATTTCTGTGTGTTATGGAAGTGGTTTGGTGGATTGGTTGGAGTTAGACATAAACACCATCAGATGCCGGCTCAGTGGTCTATCGGTCAAGTGCTCTGGCGCGAGACTGGTAGGTCCTGGGTTCGAATCTCGTGAGGCGAGGTCGCGGATGTGCACTGCTGAGGAGTTCCGCAATAGGACGAATAGGTCGTCCAGTACTTCCAGGTTTTCCATGATGGTCTAGCTTCAATTGACTCACGCTTTCAACTATGTTATGTAAGTGCAATTAATTTTAGACTACCAATTACCAGGATTGTACAAAATACTGAGAACTAAAACAGTTATGTGCGTCTGTATGGTGTATGTGTTTCCATGTCTTCATGTGCGTGTACATGTTCATTCAGTCGAGGATAATGATTAGCTATCTGTACTTAATCTTTACTTAATAAATAAGTTTAGTTCAGCAACCATTCATCAATTGTCTTCAGTGAGTTGATATCTCATAACAGACGTGGTTTAAACTTCACTGGTCACTACTTTTCACTAGAACCCCTGGATTTACCTCTCGAAGCCAGTCACTAGTGAGCATATGATTAATATTATAAGAAGGGGGTTTTTGTGAAGAAAATACTAAATCTCCACAGAAACCCCCTTTCTGATAAAAATAAGTTTAGTATATAATGTGAAACTTAATGAATGATCCAGTTAGAATGTGGGAAATATATGTTTATATTTTAATAAAAGGATGTGATCAGTGATTATTGGTATCACTATTATTATTAATATTGATTAGTAGTAACTTGATTAGTTAGTTAATCATCGATTAAAAGAGATGTCAATCATTAAAAGTTTATACTCTTCAATTACTTGTTATTCATACAAATCTAACAGGATATTACTGTGTCATACATTGTGATTGATATGAAAAGATGTTGTATATGACCTAATAAATGATTGTTTTCTTGAATCATCATCGTCATACATATAAAATACTAACTTATTACAAGATCATTAACATTAATTTTGCCATTATTGCAAATGAAGTTCAGTTTTTGAATGTATTTGTAGTAATATTGTATAATTTGGCCTCATTCCAAATGAGTATTATGGATGCATAAATTACATTATGGTAGTAGTAGTAGTAGTAGTGGTAGTATTATTATTATTATTATTATTATTATTATTATTATTATTAGCTTTATTCAATATTATATTTTTGGTACAATATAGAATTCTCAGCCCAAAGTACTTCAACAAGTTTCCGTTTCTTACTTCATCGTCCTTCCTGACGATGAATATTGAGTGATCGCCAGTTAGAACTTAGCAGCCCAGTCAATTGACATCTGGATAATGTACATTCTTCTCGCTGCATATTGCCAGCAACCACGATATCTCTGATTAAGCCTTCTGTAACCTTTACAGAGAAAGGTCTTACACTTTTCAGAAACGCACCTGAATAGGTTGTGCGATTAATAGGCATAATGATGTATTAAAGCAAACGAAATCAGATAACTTGTTGAAATATCTAGATGACAGGAACAGGTAGCCCAGATGTTTAAACAGGCCGCCGTAGTAGTAGTAGTAGTAGTAGTAGTAGTAGTAGTAGTAGTAGTAGTAGTAGTAGTAGTAGTAGTAGTAGTTCACTACTAGTGTTTAAATATAAATAGTTGAAAATTAAATGTATAATGATCTGATGTTTCTACTTGGTACATCACTGGATGATTTCTGTTTTACTTATTAGCAATGTGTTTAGAATATTGAGTTCATTTTTTTTTGATTGGTTGTGTATTGTAGATTGGAAAAATGATTAGCAAATCTTTAATAATTGATCCTTAGATAATAGTGACCAATACAATGTTTGTCTAGCTCTTAATGGTGATTGAATTTCAAGGATCAACCAACTATCTAACATCAAAACATTCTATATGGAGTTACGTCAACTAGTGATCATATTAAAACTTGATCAAAAGAATTCGACCAGCACTAATAACTAGACATATAGGATATTAGTAACAATTCAGTGACTAATCAGTGTATCTCAGTTCTAAAGGAGATTGGTCCTAGCCGAAATCGCTCAATGTTAACGTCTCTATTTATGACACCCGGTTATACTGGTTTAAATCCCACAGTGACCATTATTTCCATTGAAAATGAAGATGCACACCGCTGAAGACTGTCAACTAGCACGAAATCTGAGTCTAGAGTTTTTTGTGTGTAGTTTAACACTACTACTATTAGTATTACTATTATTTCAGCGCCGTTAGTTTTTTTCACTTTTTCAGCTTACCCCACACTGTACTGGTGATGTAAATTGTTACAACTTGAACAGATAAACATGTCTATTCTAGATTCTACGTTGTTACTACCAAATGAATATTATCATTTTGATCAAACAAGTTATTTTATTTAGCTGTTATTATCCATAAAGATACACCGTTCTCCTTTTATACATTGGACTGTGATTGAATCATTCTTTGTCATACACATAGGGATTAAACATTATGATCATGGATACTGGCAACAATGTATTCCGACAAATAATTCATATTAACATGATTTGAATCTATCAATATGTTGTTTTGTATATATGTTTATATGTTTATATGTATATATGTTTGTTTTCTCTAAAACGTATTAGTTTGACAAATAAAATTAAAATGGTCAGCTTGTACCGTTAGTAATCAAAGTGATTACCGTTTATCTAACTAACAAAATAAATCGAATGGTTTCAAGTGTTTGGTCAAGTGTTTGCTGAGAGATTTAAAGATCTTGAGTTCAGCACCTGTTAAGGAGTTGTGAAAGTCAACTATTAGGGAGCCCATGCCGAGACGAAACACTTGTCCACTGCATTCTGTTTTTAAAAGGTACCCCAAGTGAGATCATTGATGATTTGACCAAATTTTCATCACTGATATGGTACTAAACTGTTTACACTATCGAGTAATTCCAATCATCTAAAATCAAACCAACACACTGTAGTATAGATTAACTTTTAATTCAGTGACCATGATGAAACTTGGTCGATAGAATTTAGTGAAGTTAGGCCGAATTCCCTAGTTCTGACGTCTCTTTGACTATAACACCAAGTAATGAAGGTTTAAATCCTACAGGAACCATTATTTCCCACAACACTCCAGATCCCCTTAGTGATGATAACTCTGAACTAGCACGAAACCTAGGTCCAGGGCACTCTGTCTATAACTCTGAATTACCTAACGTCAAACAAGCATATGATAATTTGGTCTCATTTGGTCTGGTGACAACATAGTAATTTCATTGTTATATGGCACTCTGCGCGGATCCAAATCATTGCAAATCAAAGCAAATTTCATACCCATCCCACATATGAGTGGCTATCTGAATTTAGTATTTCAGTGGATAATGCTTTGGCATCCGAAGTGGACGACACTGGGTCTGAGTCCCGGAGTGAACATAAACTCTAGGACACAATTATATCCATCTGACGAGACGCACATCTTGGATTTCACGGCTAGATACATCTCATCAATTTTCCCTTCATTTTTTTAAAAGACTTTATAGCAGCTTACTTATCCTGTGTAGATTTAATTATATGCTGCATTACTGTTTTTTCAACCTGACTACATTTGTGTAGAATACAGTGACTACCATGTCAAATTCAAAATCCAGTACTACAACAATACAAAGTAGAACAAATATAAACGAAATTCAGAAGATCCGTTCTCGTGGTGCATCATTATCGACTAAAGGTTCTACAGTACGTACTAATACTGCTACTTCAAACATCACCAGCAATGTCACCGCCACAACGACAACTACTACATCTGGGAGATCATCCAGTACAACCATAAACAAGAAACCTCAAGTCACTATGACAAAATTAGACAAGCGAATAACTAGTAAACCTGATTCATCGTTACGTACAGGACGAGTAGACTGTGCAACGAATCTCACTTCTAATAGTACAAATGCTTCGAGATCTAATCTTACTGATCGTTCTAGAGGAAGATTATTTAATCAAACTAACAACAAAGGTTGGCAGTTTTAATTATACTATTTTTATTTATTACTTCTGTTTCTTCATAATGTCATATCCAAAATGCTTTTTTTGTTTGTACTTTGACATTATTTTACAAAGAACACAAACATATCTTGAGATGATGGAGAAGATTGATGCCTAAGGAGGAAAATATTAGGGATTTAGTGTTGTTTCAGCTATTTGATTTAATCGTGGAGCTTTTAATGTCGTTCAAAAATGCATTACTTACTCCTGTTACCTCTTGTGGAGCAGCATAGTTTGCTCACCAGGAATATCCATCGAACTCTCTTCTGGATGATCTTTTCCAGTTGCTATTCATTCTTTAGATGTCTGCTTCAAATTCCCTACCCGATTTGTTCTTGGGTCTTTCTCTTTTTTTTTTTACTTCAGCATCCCATGTTAGGGCTTGTTTCGTGAAGCAGTTTGGTGATTTCCACAATGTATATCCTATCCACCGTCCTTTCTTGATTACCCCTTCAGATGGATGTTTGTTTGTTCTCTCCCATAGTAAATTGTTGCTGATGGTATCCGGCCAACAAACATTGAGCATCTAGGGTAGGCAATTATTTATCCATACCTGCACCATTTTAATTATGGTTGTAGAAGTTCTCCAAGTTTCTGCTACGTACAGTAGAACTAGTTGTCTTGACGTTCATATTGAAGATTCTGACTGTGATATTAATTTACAGTTGTTTTGATTTCCATATATTCTTCAACTGTACAAATTATACCCTTGATTTGTCAGTCCGTTCTTGCCTTTGCGTTGTTTATATATATTCCAAAAATAATCTATTTGGCGTTTTCCACAGATTGTTCCTATTGATATGTTATTTGGTTAATTATTATCTATGGTTTCGCCGTCATTGTTTCCATGCTTATTTTGATCATCTAGTTTCTTAACCTCATCTCTATCGAAGAAATTTACTGGTGATTTTGTTTAGAAGGAAAACGAAAGCTCCACAATTAAATCATTAAATTCAGCGAGCACAACCTATGTACAAAGTGTCAATAAAATCTCTAAAAACCCTCTCTAGTTCTAATCAGAGATGGAGAGTGGCTAGCAGTGGAATCCAGGGTGCGCGTTTTGTCAGATGGATATGATTGCGTCAGCTGGATGTACCTGCATTTCAGAGGTGATGTTCACTCCGGGACTCGAACCCAGTACCGTTAACTTCAAACACCATCGCGTTATCCACTTAGCTAATGAGTCCATTTCTGCTTATAATGCTTGTGAATTAAGGTTATATCGAAATGATACTCACAGTATGCACATATGCCAATAAGAGACTGATCAATCGCTGTTCTAAACATCAATGGGAACATTCAACCAAACAAAACCAATTGAATTTATTCTTCTCTAGTTCTTCTTTACCTTAGTACACATATTCCATTTTCTCTTTACTTTTACTGCCAAACGGTTTGTTTTATTGGGAGCTTATATACTGTGAAGTTTCTTAAGTGACTGGTAATCTTTCAATGACCTCATAAACTATCATTTAAATATACATATAATTTTGAAACATTCTGTATGTAATAGGCATTACATATTCATCTTTTTCATGTAGGTAGGTTCCGACAGATTTCTCTTTTTCGGCGTTTCGATGGGCTTACTGACTTGTGATGTATATATATGACGTATCATCTGTCTAGTCGAGGGACGGAGGATGTATGTATGTGTGTATATGAAATAATGATAACAAATTGCTTTGAAAAAAATTAAAATTCGGATCGTATATTTTTGTTTCATATTCAAGTCGTATGAATTTTATTCTATACAACCCTCAATATGTATTACTGTGACAACGGTGAGAAAAACGAACAGTACTACAAAATGGAATAATCAATAATTAGTCTGTTAAAATAAGTAACCCCACCTTGATTTAAAACAAATCAACAATAATAATGACATTTCTAGTGTACTACTGATTTATATTTGCAAACAGTATAGTATTATTAACTTAGTAGGGTTATTTTGTTTTTACTTTCTCTACTCCCTGTTCATATGTGTTTACGGTGAAAATACAGTTCACTGAAGCCTTTCAAATATTTGTAAAATAATCTTGAGACAGTAAAATTCGTTTGTAGCTAAAGAAAATTCAATTGATATACATTACTAATTTGTTAATTTAAAACTTAAAATAAGGATAAGGACTGAAGTTAGGGGTTAGGGTTAGGATTAGGTTTTAAGTTTAAAGGTTATGATGCACTTACATCATGTGCTTACTATTGACTAGCTTCGAGAGAGAATTCTTGGAGTTCTATTGAGAAGCCGTGACTAATGGAGTTTAACAGTGTAGAGTATCGGGCAGTTACCCACCAGCGACAATGAAATATGGTCGCGTGGTATCGTGGATTGGTTGAATTTAAACAGTAACGTTGTTTGATACCGACTCAGCGGTCTAGAGGTTAAGCATTCTCAAGCGAGACTGAAGATTTTGGGTTCACTTCTTGAGTGCAATATTGTGGATGCACACTGTTAAGGAGTCCCATACTAGGAAGAAACGGCCATCCAGTGCTTTCAGGTATTGAATAGTGATCTAACATTGATCGGTTCATGATTGCAATAAAATTTATTAATCTCCATAATCCCAAACTACGTTATGGCTAGAACTAAAAGTTGAAAGAATAAAAACAGCTTATTTGTGCAGTTGGTTCTTTTGGGGGTAAATATTAAAAACATTTAAGTTACATTTAAAATTTCACAAATTACGATTCGTCTACTTATTATGTTTATTAACTTCAATCATCTTAAGTACTAAGTACTGACAAGTATTACTCAACTTTTCATAGAAAAAAAATCAATCGGTTAATTGTATCCGCAACATATTCAGTATTCAAAAATTATATTACATCCCAATACTTCTTATCATCTTTTCATCCCTTTATTGAGAGACTGTTGTATATCAGAGTGTAATTTTCATCGAAAAATTTCACTTAAAACGTCGGAAATCATCCGTAACTTACTTCTTTGATTATATTGATATGAATGAAGCAGTTCAAAATACCTAATAAAAAAAGAAAGGTATGACGTAAGTAAGAGCTTTAAATAAACTTTTTACTGAAAATTACACTCTATTATACGAAATGTGACCGTTAAATTGATACTGATATCATATAGTTGAGATTATGAGTCAATTGAAGCTAGATCACTATGGAAAACCTGGAAGCACTGAACGGCCATTGCGTCCTATCGTGAGAATCCTCAGTGATGCGCATCCACGATCCCACCTCGTGAGATTCCAACCTCAACACCTATCAGTCTCGCGCGCGAACACTTAACCATTAGACCACTGAGCCGGCCGGTATCCAATGGTGTCAATGTTCGACTTCAACTAATCCACGAAATTGAGCAACCATTGACCAATTGTCTTCAGTGAGTTGATATCTCTCAACAGACCTGGTTGAGCTCCACTGGTTACTGCTTCTCACTAAAACTCCAGGAAACACCTCATGAAGTCAGTCACTAGTGAGCAGTGGTCTAGTGGTTAAGCGCTCGCGCGCGAGACTGGTAGGTCCTGGGTCCGAATCTCGCGAGGTGGGATCGTGGGGGCACTGCTGAGGAGTCTCGCGATAGGACGAAATGGCCCTCCAGTGCTTGCATGTTTTCCATGATGGTCTAGCTTCAATTGACTCATGATTTCAACTATATTAAATTATTAAAATCTCCACAAAACCCCCTTCTGATGCTAATATGTTCATAAATCCTGGATACAATATATTTATTGAATAACCAATACAAATAATGAATTTATAACGGATAGTTTCAAAAATACCTAATTATTTGTTAGCTATTAAATCATAATTATTTTGTAAACATCTTGATTTTGTTTCTTAAAAAAAAGTATATTTGTTACTATGATCAATTAAAAATGTATAAAATTTCATCTGTCGGTGATTATGTTCCCATGGTAATTACAAGTAATATAAATGTTACTAATGAATGTATAACTATCTAATTATTATTATCAATAATAAATAATGACGTAATAAATATCTGAATATATTGATTGTAATTTCATTAAGTAAATATGAATCTTTTTCTTATAATAATTATTTTAATTGTTACACTTTACTTACGCCTGTTACCCCTCGTCGAGGAGCATAGGCCGCTCATCAGCATTCTCCATCCAACTCTGTCCTCAGCCTTCCTTTCTAGTTCTTTCCAGTTGTTATTCATTCAGCTTTTCTACGGGATTGGGTCGCTAACACCATGCCCAACACTCCTCCTTTACCCAGGCTTGGGACCGGCAGTAACTCTATAAGAGCTACAGGCGGAGTTAATTGTTACACAGTCAAATCAAAAAATATATATGGTTAATTGTTCGAATCATATTATGGATATTAATCAAAGGATCTAGGTGCATTCAAATGATGAGTTGTGAATAGGGTGGGATTTGTGTTTTGAATTCTACTGTTAATCACAATCTAAATGTATTAGACTTATATAGGTGTTGTATTGAAATCATGAGCTGATTTAAGTTTGACGACAATTGGAAATATAGAAGCACTGGAGAGCTTTTTGATGATAGTTTAAGACTCTTCAGTAGTGTGCGTCCATGGTTCGTCTAACGGGGATCAAACTCAGGGCCTTTAGTATTGGACTCGAGCACTTAAACTCTTGACTACTGAGCCAGTGTTAAATATTGTACACGTCTAACTTCAACCAATTGTCGAAATCTTTGAATTTTTATGAGGTCACAAACCGATCTAAGTTAGGCAATCATCAAAAACTTGGAAGCACTGGATACCGTCAAAATCATAATCCTGAGCCACAAATATTCTCATTTATTTCATTAACACTCTGTTCTTATATTTATTATTAATATAACACTTATCATCCTGATATTCCTTGTGTTGTAGAGGCCGACTAAATATGAATGGAGCTGTCATTAGGAACTGATATCATGTGAAAAAGCTTTTTTATACAGTTTGCACTTGGTAATTGCTTCGTTCTAATTTAGAACTTCTCAGTAGTGTGAGACCTTGAACCTCCAAAGATTGAACCCACAACTTCAGTTTCCACTATGAAAATGATACTGTTGTGCACTTTTAACTCGACGAATTATCACGTGATTTATTCACCAATTGGAATACGACTGAAAAAATCTTAGTACTATGCCAAACCAATGACGTATCGACCGGTATGAGCAGCTTAGCGTCATTATTGGTCCCTTGTCCTACTAGCCCTCCAGTTGAGTCTAGAACATCAGCTCCCACTTTACGAATCATCTATTTCAAACACAACTGGTTTATATACAAGCCAAACAGACCACATCACACCATAAAATAGAAAATAACATTTGTGCAAGAGGTAGCCAAAAGTAACTGCAAGTGTAGGAGACAGTAATGAATAAACTGAGTATACTCCGAGGATAGTAAATTGTATCATAATAGTCTATAAATTAGAACAAAGCTCGTAATAAGAGGAATACAGATATACAGAATCTAGTTGCTGAATAGTTATACATTAAAAGCATATGTGTAGTAATAGTCCTTAAAAAGATCTCAACAGTTACTATTCATTACTCTCGTCGGGATATAACAGATAGCTTTAATCAATACCAATGTGGAACATAGTGATCCATATTTTCATTTTTAATCAATTTATGAAACACTAAAATCGTGATTTCCTATTCGCATGATAATTTCTTTACTGTCAAACTGGTTGAATTTCATCGGTCACAACTGTCTATCATAAGTTTTGTAACTTAACTTAAAGTTAATGACTAGTGGACAATAATTATAGCAAAAATGCAAACTTTGGAATTAAATCGTCCAATTTGAAACCAACTATTTTATAACTGAATCGTGTGTATTGATGATTATCATTGTAACGTTGTTGTTATAAATTGCCCAAATATTACGTATTGCGATAGGACTACACGAAATTCTACCGATTGACCAAATTCAGATATCCTAGTTCGACCCCAATACTGTTCCCCAACTCCAATAAATCACAACACAGCCGTTAAATGAGAATTGTTTATGGGGTCAGCAGCAGAACAAAAATTGTTTACAGACAAGGCATATTTATACAGTTAAGATGACTATTAACAGTAACCAATGGAAAGGAAGGACACGTAAAGATCATAATTAGGACAACTCAAAATTGATCAATAGGAAAAGGACACGTGAAAGTCATAGTTAGGACAACTATAATTAATGACCAATAGGAGATCACATGTAAAATATGTGAAGAGTCTGAAAACATGCCACTTTACATTTGAGATAATTTTGGGATATTCCTGTGAATATCCTAACAGTTGTCTACGCAAAATACTCAACATCCATTGGTCGGATACTATCAGCAACAGCGTTTTATGGAAGAGGACAAACCAGCTTCGAGCTGAAGAGGAAATTAGGAAAAGACGTTGAAAGTGGATAGGACATACATTAAGGTAATCACCAATGTGTATTACAAGGCAATCCATAACTTGGAATCCGGAAGGGAAGCGGAAAAGTGGAATGCCAAAGAAAACATTACGCCGGAAAATAGAAGCAGATATGAAAAGGATGAATGTTAACTGGAAAGAACTGGAAAGGAAGGCTGAGGACAGAGTTGGATGGAGAATGCTGGTGGTCGACCTATGCTCCTCGACGAGAGGTAACAGGCGTAAGTAAGTAAGCATTGTAACGTTCTACTTGTAATTACTTTGTCATCGGAATTAATTGATAAGAAAATGCATCGTGTGACATAACTTGAAAAATGACATCCATAGTTAACATACTTTTAATTGACAGTACGGCAAAGATACAGAATATTCCTTTTTAAACATGATAATTTTGATTTTTGCGATTAAGTTTATTATTCCGTACAAACTTGATCATTTTAGTTTGCATAATACCTCATGATCATCATATATTTCACAATGTTATATTCCATTTACATTCAGAACCTACACAATCAAACAGAACAAATGTTAAACCTCCATTTTCAGTTGGTGGACGTCGAATTTCCGCCGGTGCTGCATCACTAACAAGTCAACGTACAGCTCCTAGTCAATTAAATCGATCCAAAATCTCAGTGGTAACACGTGGTTCATTACACTTGTCGACTACAGGTTTAACAGATTCACGTTCTAATCTACGTGGGGCATCGTCTGCAACTAGACAGTGTAAGTTTTCTCTTACCTTAGTTTTGTCTACTTTATACTTGGTTGATAGTATAGAAAAAAAAGTACTGGGATTGAAGTTTATTTACTTATCCAAAATATAGTTTACAATCAGAAAATGTTAATTCTATCATTATCAGCCTTGTAAAGTAATCTAATTAGTCACTCAAACCCGTTCCTAGTAATGGCTTCCAACACCGGATTTCGTTGTAATACTTTCATACTTTCAAAACGTATATATTTATATAGTTTTATGCATTGATTGATCGCTTAGCCTTGTCCAATGTCATATTTGCTTAGTCCTTTAATGTTGATCAAATTCTACCAGTTAGGTTTCAATATGGTTGCTGATTTAATTGACTCCACATCATGTGCATTATGTTTTGACATTAGGTGGTTAAAGTTAGTTGGAAAAATACGCTTGTTCATCTAGGTTTGGTGCTAGCTGATAGTCGGCTAGTAGACAGTCTTCAGGAAATCGATGTTCATCTAGCCTCATAGTCTAAGACCTTACCACTGAGCTATTCGGACTACAGTTGTTTAGTCCTTTAGTGTTGATCAAATTTTATCAATCTAGTTTTGTGTTCATTACTGCGAAAGTGTTTGAGTTTGAGGTCTGTTTTATCTTTGAGGTAAAGAAAACCATTGTAAATTTTATTGATTTTGTTAATGAGTTAACTAATTTGACAAACAGACGGTGATGAGAAAAATATTACATAGTGAAACCCTTTGTTAGATAGATACATATATATTTTCATAGATTTTAATACTATATTCAGGTTTGCGTTGTTTCTCGTTATTACTCGTCTTTAATCAATTTGTAACGTTTTCGATATTGACTGATATTGTCTAAAAAAACCCAGCGTGCACTGAGTACATTTTACACACCAACGACCTCATTTTGTACTGAAATTAAGACCTCCAGATCTTTAGTTGATCATTATCTCTTTGGATCATCGAGTTGAGATCCAGCAATCCATGTTTCAAATTTCAGTCGATTTGTAACAATGATTGACTTTCGATGTGGATTTGTTCTCTGAGCTGGATGGTTGGGTCGTGGAGCTTTCATCGTCCTTCTGAACGACATCATCAGCACAAACTTCGGGTAGAAGTGAAGTGTTTGAATTTCTCCACATGTGATTCACAGCTTGTCCTGTGCACCTCACTTCTACTCGAAGTTTGTGCTGATGATGTCGTTCAGAAGGACAATGAAAGCTCCACAACCCAACCATCCAGCTCAGAGAACAAACCCACATCAAAATCACCCACCTGAGCTACAAATCTTCTCCACCATGATTGACTTTCGCCTAATACAATTATTGATATGTATCCCGCTTTCGGTATCGTTAAACCCTACCAGTCTCAATTTCTCATTAGAACGTTGAACATTTGTCATTGACGAAAACTAACTTTGAATTAAAGAATTTTTGGAAATTTCCCATCTGAATGACCATTTGTTAACCATGTAGAAAGTTAGTTAACCAAATATCAACGTTCTATTAGTGATAATGATGTATTGGATTCATTAAAAAAATTCCTAAAACATTTTCAAACGTTTAGAACGAATCGAAAAATTTCTTTGTTCTACTCTCTTGATGTTTACAGTAGTAATACAGCTGAAGAATTGTCCCGGTTGAAAGATCAGCACGTGATATCAGTTCATAAAGTCATTGATAATTTTTATGAAAGCAATTATGTAAGCTAACTTAACACAATAGTTGAACTCGCTTTTTGTGATTATTTAGTCCATATATATATATATATATATATATATATATATATATATTCAGACATTGATTGAATGAAGTCCTATTTAAAGATGAGTATGGTTAGGAGCGGTAGAGATCAGTTATTTGAGTGCATAGTTATGCTGTTGCTTGTACTTTAGTTTCATCCCAGTAAAGAGGGCTTTTAAAGAAAATCCAACTTCTCTAAATAGCTTCCACATCACTCGTAGAATGGTTTACAGAGTTATTTCTAAATATTAGGTATCCTATATTACTTCTTTCAGTAGCAGTACTTATGGTTGATGTTTCTAATTGCAAACTTAACCCTACAAGGTGTCAATTAAATAAATTTAGGGAACTCTATGTGATATTCTGAGGGAGTTCACCCCTTTTTATTACTTCAATCTGTCTTAGTGATTATGGCCGAGAAACATAGATTTAATACACTTTGAGTTGCCAATAATCGTATTTAATAGGTTTTTTTGCCGCATTGTTTTTCAAGTAATCTAAAATAACGTTTGGATTGCTGTACTAAATGTGTTACATTATTAAATCCTTGGGAAAAAGTAAATCTCATTTTTATAATCTTGATTTCTCTTAGCAACTGTACAACATCGTGGCGTTAATCGTAGCTTTATGACACCGACAACAAGTTCCGATGCAAAACAAGTAAAAACAAGAGAATCTATTCGTTCAATGCCAAATGAAAGTCCGATCTCTTCATCGCCTAAATGCGATTCTCGTCGAACATATGAATCACCTATAGGGAATAGTGCTAAAAAACCTATAACAAGTACATTTTTACGTCGTGGAACTACTCAAGGACGTATTGGTATCGGTCGTAAATTATCTACTGATAATATTAATCAATACTCGAATTCTAATAAATCTTCATCATGTATTTCTGATCGAATAGCATCTGTAGTTTCTACTATTGAAGCTTACGATGATCCAAAAGCTTATTTATTCTATCGAATGTTTCAAGGCGTAGAAGAGATTGAAACTACAACAACTGATGGTATATTTCAAGCATTTTCACCGTATTCATCAGTAGATTTTCAAAAACAATTTTCACCTGAATTCAATGATACAAATGAACAATTAAATTATCATTTACGTAGTTATGGAATCGATGAAACTTTTCCGAAGTTTCAAACTAATTCGAATGTACAAAATAAAGTTAGTGATTGCATTTTCTGATTGAAAAAAACTTTTATTTCCTACTTACTTATGCCTGTTACTCCTAATAGAGCATCAACATTCTCCAACCCATTCTGTTCTGGGCCTTCTTTTCTAGTTCTATCCAGTTGTTGTTCATTCTTCTCATATCTGTCTGTATTTCTCGGCGTAATGTGTTTTTTGGTTTTCAGGATTCCATGTGAGGACTTGTCTTGTTACGCAATTGGGTGATTTCCTCGAAATGTGCCCAATCCACTTCCAGCGCTTCTTCCTGATTTCTTCCTGCGCTGGAATCTGGTTTGTTGTCTCCCACAAACCAGATTCCTAACTTTCTGAAAATTACTATATAAAATAATTTTTCATACAAAGATCTGTATATATTTTACAAGAATAGTTTCCCTCACTAATTCATATCAATTAGGAAAGCCCTTAGACAAGGCGAGTCCACCTAGGGGAGTTGGAAAACCCTGATTCCAAACCAATGATGCACATGGGCTGCAGTATCCTGAAGGAACAAATGGCGTACGAATCAATCGTTGATCACCGGCTACCATGGGACTGCATCTCCTTACGGTGCTCCACTGCCTTGTGGATCAGACTTTTAGGTTGAAGGCTCCGGGTGTGGCCCCTTAAGAAAACCACCTGCTTCAGTTCGAGCACCTGGACAATATCACAGCCCTCAAGCAAATCGAATGAGATTTATATGGCGCACATGTATCTGATTCTTCCTTGTACCAATATTTATGTGTTTAAATAAATAAATAAATAATAATGAGGGGTAACAGGCGTAAGTATGTAAATAAGTAAGATCGAAGGGCTTTTCGACAGTAGTTCATGCTAATAACCCTACAGGGAATCAAGCTCATAGCCTTCAAATTCTTTTGAATATCAAATTCAAATGCATTAGTTTGGATTGCCAGTTTCAAATAGTTTTTAATATACCGAGTTCTTCAATCAGTATGATCAATCATTTACTGCTGTCTTACTTCTAATTTCCATGACTGAATAGGTTACATCTAATGATTCGTTATTTTATTAACTACATTTCCCCATCATAATTCATTTTTACATGGTCAGTCGAAAAATATATTTCCCTTTTAATTGAATAAATTCCTAATGAGATGTCACTTAAGCTTCTATCATGAATTAATCAAAGATAGTTTATAGTGCCTTTTCATGCGTATGTTCAAATTATTTATATCTCCAATAGGTTAACAGTTAAAAACAATAACAAAATATCAGTATAGGATTTTGTGAAGATTATTGGATGTTAGTGAAATCATGAACGAATCTGAGTTAGATATCTATAGAAAACCAGGAAGCACTAGACAACTGTTTTTCCCCAGTACGGAGTACCTCAGCAACTCACATTCACGACCCCATCAGGGATGAAATGAAATTATGAACTCTATTGACGATATCCCTGGTCATACTAAAAGCAAGACAATTAACATTATTATTATTATTACCTTTATTATTATTATTATTATTATTATTATTATTATTATTATTATTATTATTACTTACCATATCGCTAATTCACCCCCTTTTATCCCCAATTTGTGTAACCTTACTCTTCAACTTATGCAGCAGCTCGCTCTTGGTGGAAAATCTGTCCTATCTAAACGATCTCCAGTCACTGTCTGGTTGAAAGTGAATGCTTCCACCGATTATGAATACTGAGGCAGTCTTTCTGAAACCACGTACGCCGTTCAAGCTGGCCTCCTTCAACGTTTGCACACTAATGCAGATCAGACAACAGATAGGGCTGGCTATGTCTTTGGAAGGTCTTAATGTTGACGTTTGTTGTCTATCCGAGACCCGTATTCAAGACTCTAGTGAAGTACTACAAATCAGCTCTCCATCCGTCGCCTCGAAAAGCTTGTTCCACGTGCGCTTATCCGGGGACCCTGTGGCATCTTCGTCTGGTCTTGCTGGCGTTGGTGTCGCACTAAGCGCTAGAGCTGAGGCAGCACTAATCGATTGGTTCCCCATTAACAGTCGGTTATGTGCTGTTAGATTAGAAAGTTCCATCAAAGTGAGAAGAAATCGGCGTGAGAAACGGTGTCTTTTCGTCATCTCCGCCTATGCCCCGACAGATTGCAGCCCGGATGCAATCAAGGATGAGTTTTACCATCAGTTAACAGTTCTTCTCCAGAAAGCGCGTTCGAGAGATATTGTAGTACTAGCCGGAGACTTGAATGCACAGGTCGGGCGTCTAGGCACAGAAGAGAGTCGTTTAGGTGGCCGATGGGGACTTCTTGGTCGCAGGACAGATAACGGGGACCGTTTGCTGCAACTGTGCACAGACCACAACCTGTTTCTGGCCAGCACTAACTTCCGGCACAGTCATCGCCGGTGTGCCACCTGGCGTCCTCCCTCTGCATCCCAAGCCTGGACTCAGATTGATCACATCGCGATCAGCTACCGCTGGCGTGGTTGTGTACAAGACTGCCGCTCCTTTTGGAGTACCTATCTGGAGTCTGATCATGCCCTGGTCTGCGCCAATCTCACCTTACTTTTCAGTGGCCGAAGGATTGACCACCACCAACGGATTGATATTAGTAAACTGGCTGCAACTTCTGTTGCAAGTAAGTATCGAGCTGAGCTAGCCTCTAGGCTAGCTACCACCCCACCGAAAAGTATAGACGAGCATTGGTTGCATCTTCACGACGCCATGAAAATGGCGAGTAAAGCCGCTTGCGGCTTCGCGAAACGTCCCGCTTACAAGCACTGGGTTTCTTCTGGCTCCTTACAACTGATGGAAGCCCGTCGGTCTACTCCGGGTGACCGTGAGTTTGACCACAAACGAAGGCTGTTACGTAATGAAATCGGGCAAAGCTTGTGTAAGGACCGGGAAGCCTGGTGGTCGGAGCGTGCTAATGAGATGGAAGCAGCAGCTGCATCTGGTAACTGCCGGAAGCTCTTCCAACTCATCCGAGCCACTGGCAGCAAGAAGTCTGGTGTGAGTGAAACAATCTACGAGGATGACGGGATGCCAATCACTAACATCTGTCGACGTCTTGGACGATGGGCGGAATTTTTCGAAGGGCAGTTCAACTGGCCTGCTGCTCCGGCAACATCAACCAGTTTGTCCTGCTCCCCATGGCCGGTGACGACTGATCCACCAAACGAGGCGGAAGTCCGCAAGGAACTCCAACTCTTGAAACGTTATAAATCACCTGGCCCAGATGACTTACCTCCTGCTCTTTTTAAAGATGGTGGTGGCTTTCTGACTAAGGAATTGACTGTGTTGTTTGGGAACAAGAAAGTGTTCCAACATCTTGGAAAGAGTCAATAGTCGTCCCTATCTTTAAAAAGGGTTCACGTTGTTCCTGTAGCAACTATCGGGGGATAAGTCTACTTTCGATCGCGTCCAAACTATTGGCTTCTATCATTCTTCGTAGGTTGTTTAAAACCCGAGAACGATTGACTCGCGAGGAGCAGGCTGGTTTTCGTTCTGGTCGAGGATGCATTGATCACATCTTCACCCTCCGCCAAATGTTAGAACACCGTCATACTTATCGCAGGCCAACAATCGTAGTGTTTCTTGATATCAGGGCTGCCTTTGATTCGTTGGACAGGACTGTTCTCTGGGATTGTCTATTGAAGAAGGGTGTGCCTGAGAAGTTCATTAACATCTTAAAGGCCCTGTATACGTACACCTCAGGCAGAGTGAGGGCATACAACCACCTTTCTCTCTTGTTCCATTCGAGCAGTGGGGTTAGGCAGGGTTGCCCGATCTCCCCATTCCTCTTCAACTTTGCCATCGACGACATCCTAGAAACAGCTCTGATGGATGTAAGCAATGGCGGTGTGGATATGTTGCCTGGAGAACGACTTCTCGACCTTGAGTATGCGGATGATATTGTCTTACTGTGCGATAATGCCCAAGGCATGCAATCAGCACTCAATCAGTTGGCAATCAGTGTCCGCAGGTACGGCATGTGCTTTGCACCCTCCAAGTGCAAAGTACTTCTACAAGACTGGCAGTATTCTCATCCTGTACTCACCTTGGATGGTGAGGAGATTGAAGTAGTAGAGAAGTTCGTGTATCTAGGTAGCTATATAAGTGCTGGTGGTGGCGTGAGTGATGAGATTGATGCACGTATAATGAAAGCCAGAGCGGCTTATGCCAATCTGGGCCATCTTTGGCGCCTTCGTGATGTTAGTCTGGCTGTAAAAGGTCGGATCTACAACGCGTCGGTGAGAGCAGTTTTGCTCTATGCTTGTGAAACCTGGCCTCTCTGAGTTGAGGATGTTAGACGTCTCTCTGTGTTCGATCATCGTTGTCTCCGAAGGATTGCTGACATCCAGTGGCAACACCATGTTAGTAATGCAGAGGTTCGGCATCGTGTGTTCGGGCGCAGAGACGATAATTCAATTGGTGTCACCATCTTGAAACATCGATTTCGGTGGCTTGGACATGTTTTACGAATGTCGTCCCAGAGACTTCCGCGTCGTGCATTATTTGCCGACCCTGGGACTGGTTGGAGAAAGCGGAGAGGAGGTCAGTGTATGACATGGTGTCGTGGCATGAAAGAGAGCTGCAAAGGGCTAGCTTCTGTTGGTCCTTCACGACTCCCTGGTTGGGGTCCGAGAGATAGTGCAACACAGTGGCTAGAGACGTTATCGGATATGGCTCAGAATAGAAGCCAGTGGCGATCCTGCTGCAACCTTCTTTTACTTTCTACATAAAGAATGGTTCTAACTTTCCTAACTGAAAGAATCTTCTGGTTGTACATTTCAGCCCGCCTTATCTTTTCATCCTTTATCTACCTACTTTCATTATTTTGTGTGGCGCATATGTACCTGGTGCCCTTTTGTACCAATATATATGTGTTTAAATAAATAAATAAAATAAACATCAGGGATAGAATCCAGGCCCTTCAGTCTCGTAGTGAACGCTCAAGATCTAGACTGCTGAGCCATAATTCGTCGGTTTCCATGTCTAACTTCTATTGGTTCACGAAATTGTGCTACTGTCTTTCTTTGTCCAT